CCTTATCATGCTCCGACATTGTTATTGTGGCGAGGACATTGTAACTTTCAATATGTTAGTTCAAAATCTTTTGCAAAGTATATGACTAAATACATCATGAAACCAGAACGTTCTGAGTTATTTGAACTGAGTGAACATAATGCTTACCGGTCTCATGTTTTGGCTAGAAGACTTGGAACTATTGAACTTACGATCCTTCTGCTTGGTTATTCGATTTGCCAATCTTCGATTGCTGTTCAATATTTGCCATCTTTACCTCCTAACATAAAAACAAGATCTGTAAAACCAATTTATTTGCTAAATGATGATAATTCCAATCCCTACTGGGATGATGCGATTGATAAATACTTTTCTAGACCCAATGATCCTATTTTTCATAACATTACGTACCCACAGTTTCACCAACTCTATCGAATACAACCTAATCCTCCAAATTCAAATACAACTTATTGGATTGATTTACAAAGAAGATATGTAATAAAACGAAAAAAATCTATATTAGTACGATTCCATCATTTAACTGCTGATGATGGCGAACCTTACTTTTACCAGCAATTATTACTTCAGTTGCCTTGGAGAAATGAGCAAGAATTACTTGATCAGTATCCTGACTATCGATCCCACTATCAATCAAAATTCCCTGAACAATACGCTATATCTATACAATATCTCTGTCAATCTTCGGATATACAATTTCTTAGATTTTCAAACAATTATCATTAGATAAAAAACAATATAGTAAACAATATGCCTCAGAACATTACCTTACTAATTCGAAACCAACTAGAATCTCTAATGCGATATACTTCTTCCGTTCCTCGCTTTTCTTTATTAGAAACACCACCAGACCAATACATAATTTTCAACATATTAGCAACCTCTTGGGGAGGCGCAGATGAACGTGGTCATCCTTATTTTTTTTTGACCAGTTCAGCAGGTACAGGAAAATCGTATATGATTAAACTAATTGTAAACCATCTTCGATCGCAGCATAAAAAGTTTCTAATAATGGCTCCAACTGGAGTTGCTGCCCAAAACATTGATGGAAAAACTATCCATTCTCAACTAAAAATCCGTCCATCAACTACTAACTTTGAAAGTTTAGCATTGTATGACCAAGAACATCGTCAACGACTTTCACAAATCGATGTTATTATTATCGATGAAATTTCTATGGTATCTGCAGGTCTTTTAACATTTATCAGTAACCTTTTCGCTCGTCTGCATAATAATGCATTG